TGACATCAAACAGATCTTCCTTTTTTTAAATACCTTTATTGATATCTGATTTACAAGTAAATAGGCTGCCTTGTAATTTTATAAAAGTTAACATGGCCGACGACGCGGGTTTCGAAGAAGAGGGGTGCAATCTTCAATTTCTAAAAAAAAAATCTAGTATATCTATAATTTTATAATAACAAAAAAAATATTTTCTATAGAAAGAGGACGACACGTAACCCCTCGGTCCCTCTCCGCCCCTAGTGTCGTCGGCTAAGATGTAATATCTCTATAATCATCTAGCAAATACTTTTTTGCCAATCCGCTCTCAGAGTTTCTTTCACTGGTTCCGACTGTATTTTATATTTTTATATTTTTTAACAATGAGACTCATTTCCCGAAATATTTCTAAATTATTTGAATCTTGATTTCACAATGGTTTGAATATTTAAGTATATTACCACGAGAAACTTTTGTAGCCGATTGCAATGAGTGCCTCGCTGACGCTTAAATTTAATCTTATTTGTAATTGTTTCAATAAATTACAAAAACCTGATTAAAAACGTATTACATCAGTTATTCAATTATTGTATCTTCTTCCAAACACATAATATTTATTTTCTGTTGAAGAAATATAGCTAAATTTTGCAAAACTAATTTTTTAATTTGCAAGAATGATAACTATAATTGCAACAATCATGCGAGTTTTTGATGCGAATATACGAACTGCTTCTACGACTACTGAACAGTCAATCTTTTTTAACGAAAATTTTAAAAAGATTATTGTTGACTTTATTAAAGACAAGTACAAACATAACCTTGAGTAAAGGCAACTTTGTAAAATAAAATTCATCAACTACTGGGAGATTTCTGAAATAGTTTATCAATTTTGATTTATTTGTTTACTAGTTTATGATTTATTTATTTATTTATTAGTTTGTTACTTTTTATTGCAATACTTTATTTATAAAATAAATAGGAAAGTATTTTCTTGCGAAGTAAATTAAAACAAATTTTTACTCTCAATAAGATTCGATTTTTGTTTAAACTTTTTATTCATTTTAGTTCAAAGTTATCCAATCAAAATTTAAACTGCATAAATTTTAACATAAAGTTGCATAACTTTACACGCAGAGTACACGCTGTAATGATTTCTTGTTAAAATGTTAAAAATTGAAGTAGAAAGCCAACCACAAAAAATAGCAAAGACTGAATCGTTTATTTAATTTTCCTTTAAAAATTAATAAAGAATAACTCGTTAAACATAAAATATAGAACTCTATACCCCCTCCCCTCATTACTGCGCAGAAACAGAGGAGAGGGTGGGGGAGTCATGCTGTGTTTACGCCTTGGATTACAGAAAAAATATTATGTTTATAAGGTAACGCTTTGATATGTGGGCAACATTGACATGTGTTAGATTAAATGTTTTTACCCGTCACCCTTTGACTATTGTTTAAATTATTTTAACAGATGCTGTAGCCAGATGTTAAATGAACAAATTTAACTATTTTTATCGGCATAATAGTAAGTACAAATAAGAACACAATACGGCGGGCATAAATTATACTTTCAATTTCTTCTTTTTTTGTTTTTTTGTTTTTTGTTTTTTTGTTATATTACATTTTAAACAACATTTCGTTATAAAATATAAAGTTTACAAGATAAGAATAAAAAAGTAAATGACAATAAAAATTTACAAAAATTACTCGATAAAAAAATAAAAGAACGCGAAGACTCGTAAAAGACCTTTAAGTCTTGTCGTCGAGAACCGCTGATATAAACGTGATGATTTCTCGTAATATTGGTAAAAAATAAACAAGATAATTATCCGTTGAATGATCTCTACTCATGATCCATATAGATATTTGGGAACCCAAATTTGTTTCTTAAAAAAACAGAGGTTTTACAAAAGTAGCTAAAGTGCTCATTATTACCCAGACCACATGGCAATATGAACACTTTAAATTAGCTTAAAAAAATAACATTAATTGATTAAAAAAATATAATCCTGTTAATTAGAACTAATTTGTGGAATATAATAATTCGTTATTAACAAAACTTACCATTAAAAGATCAAATTTTATTACACTTTTTATAAAAAAAAAAAATTGTTCATCATTTTTTAACTTTAGTAACTCAAACCTTTTAACAATAAAATTACAAACTTTTTGAATTTAAATTACAGAAAGATGTTTAGCATTTTTAAAATATTACAAAATTTTCGCTGTTTTATAAAAAAATTTAAACCAGGGCTGCGGATTCGGAGTCGGAGTAGCGGAGTTGCGACATTTTTAGCGGAGTCGGAGTCGGAGTCGCTAAACAAAATTGCGATTCCGACTCCAATAGTAAAACTTCTTTGTATTGCACGTGCATGTACAAAACATTCAACTAACTTTATGTTCATACTAAATCTCAAAGAACGTTTCATAAGTTTGTCAAAAAAGAAATTTTTAACTTATCGCGTAATATTTTTTAAAGAATTCAAAGAATTTTTAAAAAATTTTGCTTTGGAGTTGGAGTCGGAGTTGGAGTCGGAGTCGGAGTCCGAGTTGTGCTCAAAAAATTTCAACAACTGGAGTCGGAGTTGGAATCGTTGCCTTTTTTTTACGACTCCACACACAGTGATTAAAATCACTGCCATTTTAAGATTTTAAACATGGTAATTTCAACGAAAAACACTGGATAATTTGAGCTTGCTCAAATTATCCATATTACACGAAAATGGTATCTTTAAATAAAGTCAAGACTAAATGTTTCTATGCATTCTTTTTCAAATGAAAATGAAACGGATTTCTAGTTAACATTTTTCTTTATGAAAAGTTAAATTTTATTATTTTAGCATTAAAATTTCGCGCCATAGAATTATTCATGCGTGATGAAAATGTTTTAACAATCCAAAAAATTTAATAGCGTTTTTATTAGATGAGAGCCGCTAATTACTGCATATAAATTTACGCTAATTATGGTGATTTCTGTTATCACCGCAAAAAGTTGATTCAAAAAACACTAAGCAACTTTAACTTCATTGCTTACATCTTAGAAATCCTTTAGTATGCTCAGATTACCAATGTGCTTATACCCTATTGTTAGTGCATTCATTTTTCTTAATAGAGGCTATGTAGAAGTAAAACGTTCACTAAAATTCTTTAAACGTGCTATATGCTTCTGATGACGATGAACAGGTTCAAGTTTGCTTTTGTTGGTACGAGCCCATGCAATATTTGCATAGTTAATATGGTTGTGAACAAAAGAGAAATATAGGGAAAAGGTTGCGTATGTTAGCAATGTTAACAGTGTATTGAGTTTTCTTATTCAAAAAGCTTCTTACTTTATTGAAATTTTTTTTTTTTAAACTTTTTAAAGTTTTGTTGCATAAATTTTCAAGTGACTATTCCAAGTAAGTAAGGTATCAATATAAACACTTAAAAGTTTTCTACTTTTTTTTGTTTCTTAAAACAAAAAAACTAGATATTAGTAAACTAGCAATAAGTTAAAAGATAAGTAAAACCACGCTATAATATTATTTTTCATGTATTTCTTATAGGGGAGAGTGGAGTATTGGCAAACACCTGATTGGAAATGCAAAATAAAGACACCAGTTCAGTCACAATAAATCTTTTTATAAATCTTATTATAAAATAAAAATTTAAGGCAAAAATAAAACCATTGGTGTTCGGAATTACCCTGCATACGTGGGGTAATTCCAAACATACGAAGGGGGGGAGGGGCAATCACAAACACTGTTGTGTAATAACGAATAAAATGCTAATTGTAATAACTGCAAAAATTATACTATGCAACAACAAAAAAATAAAAGAACTGTTTTTATATCCATAAAAGCTACAGCAAAATGTTACTCAAGAAAAAAGTTGCATAAAATTATTAGAAAAAGTTAAAATCAAATTATAGTGAACAACAATCACACGACTGCGCGTCTGAAACTGAGCATGAGATCCCCTCTCAGCAGGTAAAAGGAAATTGTAATATTTATTTTTTTATAATGCAATTTTGACCATGTTTGGAGTTACCCCGCGTTCGCCATTACCCCACTCTCCCCTACTGTTGTTTCTAAATATTAAGATTTTTGTTGTTGCATTTTTCTTTTAAAAACCATATTGCGGTTTTGGGATAACATTGAGAGGAATGCTTTGGTCACAATGTACTGACAATGTATTTTTAAATGCACAGAGAGACAATAAAAAGTAATGATTCCTTCAATGCAGTTTACTCACAAATTATTATTCAGAGACCAAAAGTTCGGACAAAAGTTCGGAATGGGAAGTAGCTTCTCACTGGGCATTTAGTCTTTAAAAGACGTCTTTTGAACGTTCAAATAGGGAAATCTCAAATACCGGGATGCAACATTTTAAATCGAAGTGAATTCGACGAGAGGGTTGGCAATATTGCATTTTGTTTTAAATTAAACAACAATACTAATAAATCTAAACTAAGATTGATTCTTTAAATGCTTGTATGAATCTGTAAATTTTCAATTGTTATTCTTGGGGAACCTCAATAATAAAAAACAAACAAACAAAAAAACACGCTCTTTAGTTGAAAATATTAACTTTAAAGCTACTATTAAACCAGAAAAACTCAAGTTTATAAACCTAAACTAACTAAACTTAACTAATGTGGGCAAGCAACATTAACATAAAACTAAATAACATAAAAGAATCTTACAAACAAATATATATTATTAAGTATTATTCCAATATAAATTATTAAGTTCAGAGCCGACGACACCAGAGGGGCCAGGGGGGCTGGCCTCTACACTTTTTTTCTAAAGAACCTTTTTTTTCTTTTTCTTTTTTTGTAAAAATTCCTAAATATAGAGAACTTTTTTTAGAATATGACGATTGTGCCCACGGCGATATTTTTTGATTGATTTTCTCCCACTTGCGAGAGTTTCTAAAACGCCGAATTCTAAAACGCCGAAAAGCCGAAATGCCGAAAAACCATCTTGGAGTAACAGAATAAAAAACGGAATGCGAGCAAAGAACAACCGGTAGTCAACCCCCGCATTATAATGTTTTGAATTTTATAAAATTCAAAACATGTAAAATTAAAAAATATAATGTAGCAATAAGTTTTGTATTGCTATGCCATCTATGTGTTGTATACCAAAATAATAGTGGCCTGCAACAATAAAGTAAGTTTAGCGGAAGCTGCACAATAAGGGGAAAGCCTGTCACTAATGCTAAACATGCACAGTAAGATAAAAATCTGTTATCACAACAATAGGAAATAGTAAAATTTTCGTTGTTTTTCTTTCTATTTGTTTCTTTATTTTGTGTTAGCTAACACAGATTAAAGATTAATTAATCTTTAATCTGTGTTAGCTAACAAATATTAAGACATTAAACTTTAATGTTTTAATAGTATGGTTGACCCATCAGTTTGACAAACTTCAAGTACTTTTAACAGCCATACTTTCCTTTTATAAGCTAAAACGATTGCTAAACATATTTATTTTATTGAAAGTAAATATAGAGTAGTTAGTTTAGCAACAAAATTCAATAAAGCTTGTTGAAGAAACTTCAATGAAGTCTTAATAAGTATTCTAATTTGTTTTTTTGCTTGTTTGTTTATGTTTAGAAAAATGACAAGGAATGCAAGCATTGGGAGAAGCTTTGAGCTTTGCAAAGTGCTGTATATGAAGGAAGGTACCTAAAGGTATGTTCTATTCAAATTATTATTGTAAAACTGTCTAGTGAGAAGAAAGTTCGTTACTGTATAGAAAAAAAAAGAATTAGTATATGAAGTTTAATAATTTGTTAAAATTGGAAAATAAACTTCTAGGCATGAATTTATTATAAACAGAACAGAAAATTTATGGAACACATTGCCATTGGAAGTTGTCAAGTAAACAAATGTAAACAGTTTCAAGATTAATGATTATTAAAAAGATTAATTAAAGAAAATTAGACAAATATTTTGTATCAAAAAAGTTAACTTAAAAATTGTTTTTTGTTTAAACTATTCATCTTTTGCATTATATTATTGAAAGTTATATTTTGTTATATATAAGTTATATTGCAGTATATTTTCAAAAGCTGTCAAATTAAATTTCTAACTCACTTGCTGTTAACGCAGCTACAGTTTGACTACTACTATGACTATTATATATTTTTAAATGTTAGCATCAGTTTTTTCAGTAATTTTTACTATTTTGTTAATAATGCTAATATATATATATATATATATATATATATATATATATATATATATATATATATATATATATATATATATATATATATATATATATATATATATATATATATATATATATATATATATATGAAAGATTTGTGAAATTTTACTACTTTTGATTCTGAAATTAAGTAATTTCTAATCCGCATAGTTTCCAGTGGATTAATATTTTTCTTAGAATGCAAAACTTTCATTAGTTCTCTGAATTGTGAAATTTTTGCATAACATTGCAAAGTCTTCACTTGTTACACATACAAGTTTTTATTTATGTTTTTAAATAAATTTAATCTGGAGTTGATAAGATTATGGCAATGTTTTTAAATTGTTAATTAGAATGTAGTTTTCTGAGAAAAGATAAAATAAATTGACCTATATCTTAATCAATTTTAATATGAAGCTAATAGAATAGTGTAAACTTTTTTTATGTTTTTTTGGAAATCATAATAAGATGTAGGTTTTATTAAATTTTTAAGATGTAGATGATAATTTTTAGATAGATTAGAACATTTACAAAAATTTTCCCAAATAAATATGACAGTTTTTACCATAACAATTTAATTTATGTATGCCTTTAATGTGTATTTGTTTTTACTAAGTATTTAATATTATTTTTATTACCTTTATTGTTATTTTTTTACTTAAATTTATCAACAAAAAAAATTACCAATTTTTTTCTGAATTATATTTTGTATCTTTGAATGAATCTCAAAATTGAAAATTATGAAAAAGAACATTTCTTTCTCAAAATTCAAATTTATGGCCAACCAACAAGAAAGATCTTTATTTTATGAGCAGAAATATTCCCTTCAACATTTAGAAAGTTTCAGACACCAATTTCTATTTGTGTTTCAAAATGACCACAACTATGCATTGCAAATAATACCTGTTGATCAATCTTATTCTAATACAATCAATGATAAAACATCAACAGCTTATTTAAATAAAAATGCGAGCCTTAAAGATCAAAATGTAATTGAGGTTAATATGCATAATGAAACTTCTGACAAAGTTTTTATTCCACTTTCCATGACATCAGAAAAATCTGTGACATCAAAAAATTCAAAAGCAACTTTGAACATAACTGCAGCAACTCCTGCCATAACTAAAAAAACAGAGACACTTACCTTTAATGAAGTTCTGACTCTATCACAAAATGCTACTTATTTTAATAATGGAGAAGAAACTATACCTGTTCGTCCCAAAGCAGGAGAAATTTATGGGTTTACAATTTCCAGTGACAAAACATTAAAAAAGCATTTGCGAGCAGATGGCTATATGTGGAGGAACAAAAAAAGTTGTGCATTAGGAAATGGTTTAATCACTAAGACATATTTTTACGCAAGAGTTGGTAAAACATATACTAACAATTTTGAAAAGCATGAATATATGTTGCAAAATGGAAAAAAAGCATTGATTCATTACTTGGGCAATGAAAAATCATATGTTGATAGATGTCATGGAAATTCAACAAAATCAAAATCTTTTTTTTACAGATCATCGCATTATGTTTTTGATCAAGTTTTGGCTCAAGGGAAAAATAAACCCATGGATGCATATAGGAGCCTTTTATCAAATGACCCAGGTGGTCATATTTCAACTTCTATTATTCCAAGAAATCCTAAACAGGTTGCAAATATTATGACAAGAAATGCTGAAAAAAATAATTTTCATAATAAGGATGAGGTTTGGAATAGTCATCTTGTTGCCGTATTCCATTTATCCATTTGTTCAAAAAATAGAAAGCTACCCAGACATCTGTATTGTTATGTGTTGTGAAAAAATTGTTGCACAAATGGAAGAAATGTTAGAATTACTACCTTGTAAAGAAATTACACTTCACTATGACACAACTTTCAATTTAGGAAATTGTTATTTGTCATGCTTAGCTTATCGACACGTTTGTTTGGAAACAAAAAGGAATAAATACTTATATTCTTCGCCTACTGTTCCTTTTGCATTTTTTATACATGAAAAAAGATTAGCACAAAATCACAAATACTTTTTTTCAAACATTAAAAGAAAATGTTTGCGGAAAAAATTTTAATAAATCCAGGAAGTTATTCATTTCTGATCGTGAGTTTGATGGCTCCCATTATTTTGATAATACAAAAAGTTTGGTATGTTGGAACCATTTATTGCAAAATGTAAAGGAATGGATGCGAAAGAATGGTAAATTTTCATCATCAGAGTATGATGAAGCTGTAAAAGCCATGAAATACATTCTTCGATCAAATTCTGTTTTTGAATATGAATCAAGACTTAAAAGTGTAACGAAAGGAAATATCAACCCTTGAAATGATCAAAAATTTCAAAAAACTACATTCAATACATGCACTCTGATGTTATTTCTCGTGCTGCTGCATTTGTTTTAGCAGAAGAAGGGATAAAGTACCCAAACTTTGGTGTTACCAATAATGCGTCAGAGTCTTTAAATAAAGTTATTAAGGATCTTATTGACAAAAAAATAACAAAAATGGACTCTTGCATTTTAGCTATGAATTATCTCAGTGCCTATTTTCACAGAGAAGTTGAAAAGGGATACTATAATGTTGGTTTGTATCAGTTAAGTGATGAGTTTGCCTTTATGTTAAGATCAAGAGATGAACTTAGCGCTAATCAAATCATCCTACCAGATGACATAGTAAAGCATATAAAAGAAACTGAAATACATTACAAAGATCATAACAATATTTCTTCTCCTTATGCTTCTATAGAGATGTTAGTTGAAAAACCAGTTAAAAGTGATCTTCCAAAACTTGTTTATTCAATATCCTCATTAGCAAAGGATATATTAAATAAAAACGGAGTTGTATTTGTTCCCCAAAATCGAAGTTGGTCAGTGAAAGAATCAGAAACAATTATTCATTCTGTAAATTTAAACCCACCTGCACATTGTACTTGTGGTGCCTCGAAAAATTGTGTTCACATTTTAGCAGTTCAATATCTCTCTGGAAATGTAAATAGTTTAGAACACTTTGAAGGGAAAAAAAGAAACTTAACTTCACTTATACAAAAAAATAGGCTTAAAGTTGAGAGAAAATCAGGCAAAAAAAAAACAAGGAAATGTGATATTGATTCGAATTTAAAAACATTGAATTTTTGTGAACTTGCAGTTCCAAAAAATGAAAGTTTCATTATAAAGCAGAATGAGCAATCTACTGTGCCTGAAATAAAATATCCTATTCCAAGAGGACTTCAATGGGGTGTTGGTTTGGTTTTAAACAGTTGCACAATTGATAACACTTTAACAATGTTGAAGTTGCGTTGCCATGCAGATAAGTACTTTTTAAATCGCCTTGGTACTTCAGAGGCAGAAATAGAGCTTAAAAAAGCAATGAGATATTTAAATAATGATGATGAAAATTATGGTAAAGAAATCTGGGCATGCTTTTTAAAAAGTAAAATACAAATTACAAGCTTACCTTGTTTTAACTTATATGGATCATCTAAAACATTTTTTTTCAACCACTTTAAAGAAGCATTTACATTCGAGAGTGTTGGAAAATGTTTTACATGTTTAAATAGTTCTTTTCATCCTTTTGATTTTATAGAACTGCCTCCAAACCATGACCCAACAGATTATTTGCTAGGTTATTTGAAAGATAAAAGATTGCTTCTAAATTGTTTAGTTTGTGGCAATAAAGAATTAAATCACTGTGGCACGACATTAAAATCTCAAAATACTTGGATGATTGTGATTGAGTGTGATATTCCTAACATTTCAATTTCTTCGCTGATGAATTTGCCAAAAAAAAAAATTTAATTGAAAAATGTTACTTTTCCCTGGCATGCATAACTCTTGGACTTAATGCTCACTTTACATCTTTGCACTACATAAGAGATCAATGGTTTTTTTATGATGGTATGCAAAAAAATGGAAAACTAACCAAGATGATACCATATAATTGGCAAAATAAAGTTGCAAACCATGTCATTTATCTTATTGATTAATGCTTTTTGAACTGATATGAATTGCACTGTAAAGTTTTAAGATTTTAGATTCATTTTTACTATATAGTGATAATATTATAACTAACACGATATATTTATGTTTTATAATAAAAAAGTTGTGTTTTTTTATTTATTGGAGTAATTTCTGTTATTTATATATAGCTTTTGAAACACTTACAGTGAGTTTGCGAATAATTTGAAAGAAGTTTTAGTTAAAATTTTCCTTGTGTTAGATATTTTTTTATACCCATTTGTTTTCATATAGTATTTAGTTTTAAATACTTTTAGTAATAGTAGAAAAGAAAATGTTTTTAAAGTTGTTGCTTTTTTATCAATAAATCTGGTATAATTGGTATTGTTTTGTTTTGCATCATAATACAAATTTTCATAAAATAGTTATATATTGTTATATATTTTCATGTTATGTAAAACTTCTTTAACATAGATAGATTTATGTAACATAGACACCCGAAAATTGCGATATAGGTTGACAAGAACTACAAGAAGTAATAAGAAAAACCAATATTTCAGAAGATTACCAATCCTTTCTTCCTGGCATCTTTCAAAAACTCTTAAAAGTGAATTTGGCATTGACAGGTTATATACTTTTTTTGTTGCTGGTACATAAGATATTTGTCATTTTTAAAATATAGACAACCCAATACTTTTCTTATTTTATATATACTGTGGGTGGGTGAAATAAAAACATTACTTAAGAAGACTTTTTACTCATTTATTCAAAAGTGTTAATTTATAAGGCATAAATTTGGCAGTGATTTTTATTTGACAATTGCTGTTTCAAAATTTTTAAAACTCAATCACTTCATATTCAATCCAATTTATTTAGCCTTATTATTAAATATTATGAAATATTTGTTTATCTGTAGATACTAAATGGCGATAATTATGTTATATCAGCAAAACGAATAATGAACAGTTTTAGTCTTCAACGGTTGAAATTACTCAGCAAACATGAATTCATTGAAGAAACTGATTGTCGTTGCTCTAGCATAAAGATCGTTGCACGATCGACCTGATAAAAGATGAAATTACTTATATATGTGATTAATTAAAAAAAGACAATTAGTTTGTAAATAATCAGGTGAATGGTAGCCTTTATTATATGGCTGGTTGTGTTCAGCACAGGATGTTGTGCATAGTTAATGTAACAATATCAGTTTTTCAGTTCCAAAATTAAAAATTATGTTTCACATAGTAAATTGGGTTTTCTTACTCTTTTGCATTTTATTCGTTTTTGTTATATATTATTTAACAGTGCTCCAAAATATGAAAAAACGTTTTTATTTATAATTTTAAAGAAACTCTTTTTTTATTCCTACACTTGACATCATCAATTAATTTAGAAAGTAACAGTATCGGTGCTAAATAATTATTTCTCTAATAACTAACTTTTAAAAAAAAGTTTTAACATTTAAAAATTTATTACGGTCTATGTGGGTACCGCCAATATTTTTTTAATTCGCATTTTATATTTGCTATTACTACTAAAATTTTTAAGTTTTTATAAATAATGGAGCTTTAAAATATATTTATTAATTACACAGGTCTGCAAATTAAAACTTTTTTTTTTTTTTTGGAATGGGTGAATTATATGTATTTTGGTATGCTGATTTCAATAATACCATCCATTTCGACCCATTACGTAAGGATTTTCCGCTAAGTCGAAAATAAAATATGGGCAAAGCCCGCCTTACACTACTATTTTAGACAATAATCATAAGAAGAAAAAAAATGGTAAAACTATGCAAATTTGGTTCATTTTAAATCATAAAATAATTTGTATACATTATATACAACTATAAAGCTTTATAAAATCTAGTTTTTTTTGTTTCGAAGCTTCGTTTAGAGCTTTTTTTGTGGGATGTTACATTTTCCCTATGCAGCATCCAGCAGTAGTCGCCCATCATATTTGTATCCCATCGAACTTGATGCCTTCTCTCCATTTCTTTTATATCTTGGTGAAACCTCTCACCTTGCTCTTCACTAACTGCACCAAGATTTTCCGGGAAGTAATCCAAATGGGAGTTCAAAAAATGGAGTTTTGAACTCATTGAGCATCCCAGATTTTTAGAATTGCACAACATATTTTCTACGATATTTTTTAAGTCCGAGTCTTTCTGATTCCCTAGAAAATTTGTTACTACGTCTTTAAAAGAACTCTATGCTGACCTCTCAACATAGTTCACCATATTTTCAAAGTTGTTATCTTTCATTAGCTCACGAATGTCAGGACCAACAAAAGCTCCCTCTTTCAGCTTTGCTTCAGACAGACCAGGAAACTTGCTTGAAAAAAATTTAAATGTCTCCCCATCTTTTAGCGATGCCTTTACAAACTGCTTCATCATGCCAAGTTTGATATGGAGTGGTGGTAGAAGGACCTTTTTAGGATCAACCAAAGATTCAAAGTGCACGTTTTCATCTCCGATCTTCAATGTTCTTTTTGGCCACACTTTTTGCTTCCAGTGTTTAGTTTTAGCACGACTATCCCATTAACAAAGAAAAAAGGGTAATTTTTTGTAACCACCTTGCTGTCCAAGTATCATAGAAATTACTTTAAGATCCCCACAAACTGTCCACTCGAATTCTTTGTACTTTAATTAATCCAAGATCAATGCCAAGTTACAATAAGTTGCCTTCAAATGCACTGAGTGACCAACGGGTATTGATGCGTACTTATTCTTGTTGTGAAGTAAAAAAGCTTTTATTCTTCTTTTTGAAGAATCAATAATCTGTCTCCAACTTTCAGCCATATGTTGAACTTTGAACATGGATATTAACCCATTATTATCGGAACAATAGACCATCTCACCATATTGAGGAAAATAAGGGCTCAAAATATTTATTTTGCAGATATGTTTTGAATAGCAGATTGTTTTGAGAGTCCTAAATCTCGGATCAGGTTATTTAATTCAGCTTGAAAAAAATGTTGAGGACTACTGTAGTCGCCTAACTGAAACTCGTCACAAGAACTTTCTTCTGATTCACTTTCTAATGATGGTAAATCATCTAGACTTTGGGGTGCTTGTGGTGTAGGAATGCCAGGTCCGTGAGTGACTGGGTGGAGTGTCGATTCCATGTTTGGATAAAAAATTTATTTTTTATTTTTGGTACTATACCCCTGCACATAACACGAACAAAAGTAGCAGTCATCGCTGTGGTTTCGAGGCTCTCTCCAGATTATGGGTACACCAAAACGAAAAGATTTAACTTTACCTTTTGACCACATTCTAAGTTCTTCAACGCACCCTTAACAAACTCCATGCGGAGCCCAAAATTTGTCCTGATTGCCTATCTTCACACCAAGATACACAAGTACACATTTTAAACAAATTCAGTAATATTTCATTGTTGTTTTGTATATATCGGGATTTTCCATACTTACTATGGAAAATCCCGATATATATATGGTTCAACGCTTACTAATATTATCTTCATGAGTTACTAAATATTTTGTTTTAGCCTACGAAACATAAAATTATCTTATAATATGTTAATAAATAAAATAATAAATATTTTGGCAATAAACCCCGTTTTGCGCCCTAAAATAAACAATCCCACAGCATTTTGCGTTTTTTAGAAAAACCTTACATGATGGAATTTTTTTGATAACTTTTTCGAATTCAGCGACCTAAAATTTATAAGAATTAACTCTTTAATCTTAGAAAAAAAATATGTTGCAATTAATTGCCCGCGTATTTTAGAGATTACACGAGGCTTTATTCTATTTAATGAAATAATTGATGTGATTCAAACCCATACATATTTAAAACAAGGTATATTAAAAAACTCTTTCTAAAAAGTCTTTAACTCTTTAATGAGACCAAAAAAGCTAAAAGGTATATTTTGTTCTGTCATTTGCGATGTTTCAATGTTTGGTCTGTATAACATCGCTCACAAAAGCTTTGAATGCGGGAAAAGATTCGTAGAAGGCGCAAATTATTGGTAGAGATTCTCAAAGATATCTTTTGTCAATGTTGCTCAGTGTGCAAGGATTCATTCTTACATGAGTTTGAAGCCTACATAGAATAATTTCCAACCTCGTATAACAAGAAATATTATCATAAAAGATGTTCTCTGCTTAAGGACCAAGTTTGGTTAGAATTGTTGTAGTGTACCAGTAGTTTCTCTTACACAACAACAAGGGTTTTTATCTTTACACAGTTTTCTTGTGCAATTATTTATGAGAATTCGCTTGCTTTATGGTTCACCCTGGTCATAATGAATAACTCTAATTAAAAATTTTAATATTTAATTAGTTAATAATTTTTACGCAAATTTTTTCGATAACACAACTAAATATAAAATTAGCAAAAAAGTTTCAAAATAATTTTATAACATTAATTTTTATTTCGTCTCTTTTTCTATTTTTATTCGCGAAAGTTTGAAAGGACAGAACCAAAAGCCAAATTTGGCTTTTGCCAAGTTTAAAAGGACAGAAGTCCTTTTAAACTTTGCATTTACAAATGCGCAATAAAAAATCCGGGGGATATTTAACTTTTCGTTGTTTTTTTTGACGGTTACCGAAGTCTATTATTACGCCATTTTTTTCGGCATTTCGGCTTTTCGGCGTTTTAGAATTCGGCTTTTTAGGCGATCCCTTATTATTTATATTTTTACGCGCCAAGTAATTTAATTTTCTCCGAATAACTTATAAAAAAATTCAAAATGGTTTTTGAACCATAATTTTACCGATAAAACAACCTTTTATCAAACGCGTGGATAGACTCCATCCATAATGCATCTTATGATCTAAAAATTCACACATGGGTTCATAATGTACATATCTAAAATTCCAGTTTACAACATATACCTTCTGATGACTGATGTCGTAAATATATATGTATTTCATTAAAAAACAGTGATTTTTGTGTCTATTTTGCTTAAAACTACTATTTAACTGTAGTTTGGACATATAGTTGTAAACTGGAATTTGAGATCAAATAGAAACTTATCTTTATAAATAATAACATTGATAGTTAAGGAAACCGTCATTTAGTCTATCCAGCTGATTATTTCTAGTTTTAGTACTAGTTTCTTAAATAAATTGAATTTCAATATCAATATAACTTTTAAAGAGCAGATTTTATAAAAAAATGCATGATATATGTTTACACTTAAAAATAAATAATATTCAAAAATACATAAACTTATATTTATAGCCCTAATTCAATGCTAAAGATGGTAATTTTTTGCAACTTTCCATAAAAATAAAAAATTGCGGACGTTTTGGACCAAATTTTGTATTTCTTAAAATTAAGCTTTGGGAATTTTTAAGGCAAAAAATATCGCCGTGTGCCCTTCCACTACGAAAACTGTGTCGTCAGCGATGATGTTTAAAAACTTTATCGAAGGTGTCTATAGATCGAATAATGTCCATGCATCTTTTTTTATAAAAACAGCTTTATATAATACAGAAACAATTTTTTTATATTTCAAAGCGCAAGTTATAGAGCTAATATTAGATTTGCTTTGTGTTTTAGTTTGAAATATATTACAAATTTTGATGACAGTTGACAGTTGAGAAACTGACGACATAGTTTTAAAAAAAAACTATTTTTTGACTGTTATCATTACTATATTTTAAAAATTTCAAAATAAATTTAGGACAAAATAATTAGTATAAAAAAAAAAACGTTTTATGGATATATAAATAATAACTTGAGAAAAAAGTTGCTTCCAAATTAAAAAAATTTTTTTTTTTGCGAGTTGTGTAGACCACTCTCGTTTATTTTTCTTTTTCTTTCTATGAACTTCTCTTTATTCTTTATTATTTTTTTAAAGAAAAATATTGATATAAGAAGACCTTTTTCACAAACTGATGATTTTGCCCGCCCCCTCTCCCACTTCAAAATCCGCGTCGTCGGATTCTATTTTTTTCTTTTTTCGAATAATACAAATTAATCATAATTTGTGTGCCAACGTAAAAAAAAAATAAAGATCTATATGTTTTATTTAGTCAGTTAAATCTTTAAATTATGTCACCCACGTTGCATAGCTGACCATAAGAACATAAGCTATAGTTATATATATATATATATATATATATATATATATATATATATATATATATATATATATATATATATATATATATATATATATATATATATATATATATATATATATAAGCTATATATATAATAACTAAAAAAATGTTTTTCTGTAATTCTAGAATTTTGTTTTTAATAAAAAAAAATTTCTGAAATTTTTTTTTTATTGAACAAATTCTTTCATCCGAATTTTATAAATTTAATATGTATTATATGTTATATGTTTGTATTTTTAATTTAATTTTTAATTCAATTTTAGAAATTTAATTTAATATGTATTATAACGTATATGTTGCAATTATAGTATGCATTTTCTATAAAATTGAACCGTCTTATTTTGGCGCTTTATTTTTGATTATATTTGAAGTAATAACATTTGAAACCCTTTAAAATCCTTCTTAGTGTCATATTAATAGCATGCTTGAAAACTGTTGAAAAGGTTTTTAGTATGTTAATGACTGCTTTAGATAAAAATAATTAAATATACTGCTTATATAAAACTAAGAGATAGATAGCTCGGTGCATCCCCACTTCAAATGTGTCTCTTAATCGAGTTAATCAGCGTTTCAATGTATCATATACTGTTTCTATAAATACACTAATGTTAACTTATTGTATTATTATATATATAGCAGGGGCGGATACAGGATTTTTTAAAGTTTGAAATAACTAACTTCCAGACATGGAGCGAATTCGAAACTTTTATATGTTTATAGTTATATCAAATATGGATACTTTGCAAAAAATTGAGATGATAGGAGCCTGGGAACAAAAAAGCCCCAAATTTTTGCTACACCTGCCCCAAACGTGAGAGCAACAAGTTGATAAAATAAGTTTTTTACTTTTCTCAACTAAATCTATATTCATCGAGAAATTTTTAATTTTGTAAAACAATCTTTTAGCGTTCAATAATAATGGTCTTATAAAATTTGTAACCCCCTCAAATTGAGGGGGATTCAAACTTTATGTGGCTATAACTTTTGAACGTTAAGAGATTATTGTATGAATTTTAAAAATTCTCGATGAATATAGATTTAGTTGAGAATAGTAAAAAAATTATTTTATCAACTTGTTGCTCTCACGTTTGGGGCAGGTGTAGCAAATATTTTGGGGCTTTTTTGTTCCCAGGCTCCTATCATCTCAATTTTATGCAAAGTATCCTTATTTGGTATAACTATAAACATATAAAAGTTTTGAGTTCGCTCCATGTCTGGAAGTTAGTTATCTCAAACTTTAAAAAATCCTGCATCGGCCCCTGTATAGTATATATATATATATATATATTATATATATATATATATATATATAGATATATATATATATATATATATATATATATATATATATATATATATATATATATATATATATATATATATATATATATATATATATATATATATATATATATATGTATATATATATATATATATATATATATATATATATATATATATGTATATATATATATATATATATATATATATATATGTATATATATATATACAGGGCCGGCTCGAGTAGGTGTCACGTGGGGGTGCCATTACAACTTTTGCCAAAAAAAAAAAAAAAAAAGGTCCTCGTTTTCCAAAATTTGCCGACTGTCATGACGACATTTACCGACTATCTAACCTATATCGAAAGGGTCGACATTTGCCGACTAACTAGTCTAAAACGGTCCAATTTGCCGACTAAGGGTCCAATTTGCCGACTAAGGGTCGAGTATGCCGACTAAAAATCATTAATGGGGGGGGGGGGGAGGGGTGTCACACACCCCTACCCCCTATCGCGCCGGCCTTATATATATATATATATATATATATATATATATATATATATATATATATATATATATATATATATATATATATATATATATATATATATATATATATATATATATATACATATATATATAATAATAAAAATAATATAATTATATTGTATGAAGTAATTATTATAAATTTGATTTTTATTTTATTTTAATTAGCACTTTAAAAACCTACTCGCGTAGCATGAAGGTCAGATTTGACGTACTCTTGGTTTAAATAATTTTTTTTTACTTGTTAAGATTAAGGTTTATTTATGTGCACCTGCTAAACCTGAAAGTTCATTGTAGTTCAAGTATTTAATCTTATCCTATAAGTATTGACTTGAATTTTTTAAAAACTCAAAAAAATGTTTGAAATTAAAAAAAATTCTAAACGGTAAGATAAATTTTTTTCAAAAAAGATAATTTTTCGCCAAAGAAAAGTCAGCCTCTGAAAAACAAAAATCGAATTAAAAAATATAATGAAAATCGATCAAATCATTTTCATTAAAAAAACACTTTTAAAATAAATTATTCAAAAGAAATTTTTAAGCGATGTCAACAATACAAGCGTTCACTACAAGTGTGCTTTATACTTTCTGCTTGCTTGTTTTATGGTTTGTGTTTTGTTTTTGTTAAAGGTATCGTACTAATAAAAGAGAGTTTCTGATATTCTTATTTTTTTTTAAATAAACTTTTTTTTAAATATGTTTTTCAAATATTTTTTTGTAGAATTTTTATTTATGAAAGAAATATTATATAAATAAACTATATATATAAAAAAGATAAACCAAAAAAGTTCGAATTTTTCCCGATGTTTGACCACGTGATTAAAGAATTTCATTAGTAAAATGTTAGGGTGTAAGAAAAATAAATACCTTTTACAGTTATAAAATCATTGAAAAAAAAAATAGTTTTAAAAAGTAAATATAATAAAACTGTATTTAAAAACTGTTTAAATTGTTTTGGATATTTTATAAAAATTTTTATAATTATTTGTTTTAATTTATTCTTAATTTTTGTACCTCCTTAATGAAAAAAAAAACAGCTTTTAAACGGTCATAATAATCTTTTCAACTTGGCGAAAACGTTTCTGAGTTAAGATTTAAATCGACACTTATTTTTTATAGATTATTATTACACATTCATTCTACTCTAAATGCTAAAATTTATTTGTTTCACAATATTGTAAATGAATGAAATATCTGAGGTATGAAATTTAAATTTGTGTCATAGCGAAATAAATGTATATTATTTTTTTAATTTTTACATTTTTTTTTTAAAAAAGATGTTTTTAAAAAATATTTTTAATTAAAAAAAACAAATTTTCTTTAGAAATTTTGAGTAAAATGTATTTAAAATATGTAATGCATATTGTAATCTTTTTAGACGCAAAAATTTAAAAAAAAAAAAAAATAATTAATTTTTCTAGATATTTACATATTTTTTTAAAATATTATTATATTTATATTTTTATTTAACAGTCCGGAGACAAACCAATCGGTGAACACGGAACAAATTATTTTTATAAGGAGTTCGTGGTGTCAGGCTACGGTTTAAAAAGTAAGAAGTATCAACTGGGATCATTTTATTTTGTTCAAAAATCGTCAGATTTTCCTATCGCAATAGCGGAAATCGTATTGATTTGGTCCAGTAAAAGTTCTGACAAAAAATTTGCGGTTTCAAAATTATACCTGAAACCAGATAATCTGGCAGATAATACTTACTACGGAAAGGTTCTTTAACTTTTTTTTTTTTATCTATGTATATATAATATTTCGAATTTGGTAGTACAATTTAAGATATAAATAAATACATTTGAAAAAATTTTAAATAAACAATAACAAATTTTTATAAATGCATTTTATGTTTACACAGAGAATTGATAATGTTGTTATTTTGTTAAAAAATAACAGAAAAATAATTGTAAATTGAGGAAAAAACGGGAGAAGTTTTAAATAGTAAATTTATTTGTCATCAGGGAAAATCAGAGAACTGTTATTGTAATTGGTACTGTGTGTCAATGTTTTGTGTTTTAATTATTTATGGTTATGTTTTATACTATTCATATTATTTTTTATTATTTAACTTTATTAAGATAAATGAAAATAAATGGGTTATAAATAAATAAATGGATTTTTTTACTATTTACATTAAAACAGTTTTTAGTTAATTAATTTAAATTATTTATTGGCTAATGTTACACAAATTGAGGGTGAAACAATGTTGGCTCTAGGGGTTGAAGAGCCTAGAACTCAAATGAAGCGATTTTAAATTATAATATTTTTTTAAAAAAGCTGTTTATGTAGAAATTTTTTTAATTTTTTATAAAATTTCCATAATAAAAAAATTAATAATTTTTCCAATAATTTTTTATTTGTTTTTATAAAATTTTATTTTATATAAATTTTCCATAATAAAAAAATTAATAATTTATCCAATAATTTTTTATTTGATTTTATGGAAAATTTACTGATTTTTAGAGATTATCTTTTTAGAGACTAATTTTTGAATGTAGCTCTTTATAGCTATATAGAATATAGCTCAACTGTTTTTTTTTTAAATATTAATCACCATGTGTAGATCAACAATTTATCACCATGTGTAGATCAACAATTTGATTTGTAAACTTTTGAGCTAGTTCTTAAGATTAAGCTCTTTAAAATCACAAAAAATTTCAATTCCAAAACCAAAGTATCAACTTGAGTATGCCATAATGGAAAAAGCAAAGATGCCAGATTTTAAACTTTTTTTTTCTGTTAATTATATCCATACTATACTTGCTATCTTAAAATAGTTAAAGTATAAAACTAATTTGTTCAAAAGTTATTACCTCTCAAAAATAATGAAAAACCTTTTTGCTTATAGAGTGAAATTTCTTGCAAAATAACCCACTACTTAAAAAGTGTTTTCTCAAAAACCATATTAAATCTAAAATTTTCAAAACAGGTTTTTCTCATACATATGTACAAAATCAATAAGTTTTGCCAAAATATGAGATGGTCCATGAGGAACCTCATTAGCAAAATTAGCTCCATTTGGCATGGAATAACCCATATATATATATATATATATATATATATATATATATATATATATATATATATATATATATATATATATATATATATATATATATATATTTATATATATATATATATATATATATATATATATATATATATATATATATATATATATATATATATATATATATATATATATATATATATATATATATACAGGCCTTGATGGGAGTAAATGAGCATGAGAGCAGACAAAAGCTCCCCTAAAATAAAAATTACAAGCTCTGTGAGCTGCTCCTCTAAACAGCTTCTTATAAGAGGTTTAGGTTTCTGGCACAAGCTATCTTGCTTGTGCCAAAAACCTAAAGCTCTCATAAGAAGCTTTAGGTTTTTAGAAGGCCTTGGCATATATATATATATATATATATATATATATATATATATATATATATATATATATATATATATATATATATATTTATATATATATATATATATATATTTATATATATATATATATTATATATATATATATATATATATATATATATATATATTTATATATATATATGTATTATATATATATATATATATATATATATATATATATATATATATATATATATATATACATATATATTAGGATTGACATATATATATATATATATATATATATATATATATATATATATATATATATATATATATATATATATATATATATATATATATATATATATATATATATATTAGGATTAACCAACAAAAGTTCAAGATAGGTAGTTCTCTTTCCAGTAGCTTTATAGACCAAGATTTCTTTTGAAATGGCTTTAAATTGGTTGTTTGAATTGTGGAGCTGATTTTTGGCCAAATGCTGAATTGCTTCCTCGAGTTCATCTTAAGGTGAAAGTGAATTTTCATAGAGATTTTCTGAGCCACACACTTTATCTAGATTGGCTGGGAATAGTCTAGTCAACAAATCTTTGGCAGTCTTTTGAAGTACAGACTTTGAAGGCATTTTGAAAACTCCATGTTCTTCAATGTCAGATAAACATTCTGGATTAGAAAGATATCTATACAAGCCTACAAGATTGCTCTGCCTTCTCTCTTTAAAATGCCTCAAAGTTGCACTCTTCATTCATCAATTTGACTGGTTTAAAAGCAGCAACAATATTGTATGAAATATTTACTTCATCATCACTGCAAATGGAGAAATGTCTTTCAATAATTTTCTGAGTGAATCTGTAACTTTGAGAAACTGTTGAATCATAGATAGTAGACTGTTCTTGTTTTGCAGTCAAGGATAAGTGAAACCTCTTTTCCGTGCTGTTTCTTGATTTCATCTTGGAGGATGTCATTTTTGACTGGAGATTTTCGAAACAACTTGATGATTTTTTGGACTTTTGTTATGACAGATTGCAAGTGCACTTTCACTTTTGGAATGGGAATGTTTTCATCCATGTCAACATCAAGAAAACTGACTTCGATGTCAGGTTCAGATTCATCACTGCTGACTTCATCTTTGTCGCTTGTTACTTGCAGTGTGTTGTTATCAATTTTTCAGAAAGGCTTCTTGTATAGCACTTCTTGAACTACCAAATGAATTCCATGGGTGTAACACATTTGATGCTCAGTTTAAACTAGTTTTCCTAACTTAATCATTATGGAAGCTCCATCTGTAACTGAGCAGGCAATGCTATCGCTAATATTCAACCCAAATTCGGCTACTTTTTCTGTGACAACTGCTCCAGCTTTTTCAGCTGGCAGTAATCCAGAAATTTGAGTCAAGCCTAGATTGTAGTTTGTTTGTTTTTGATGAATATTAATATTCATGTACCTTTGATTTTTAGAGAAAATTACTCATCCAGTATTATTAAAAAGCGTTTTCTAATGGTTACTAAAGATTTAAAAGTGTTTTTAAGGTTATTTCTTACACCAGCAAACATTTCTCACACCAGCAAATTGACTAAATTGCTTGTGATTTTTGGAAAATCATACCCTTTTTCACTCATGGTTGATCGAATAAAAAAGCTGTTAACAATGGCATGGAAACTAAATCCATCCAGTGCTGTAAGTCTTGAAATCACTTCTTCAATTGGTTGTTTTAGGAAAAAAGTTGAAATATTAGGCTTTTTTGATTCTGTTGCAGCTTTTGTTGTCAATTTTTCCTGTTTCTTTTTTGATTCCATGTTTTTTGTCCTGGTGATACCACATTCCAGTTGTGGAACTTGAGAATTTACTGGTATTTCCACATATTTTGCTAGTCACTGTTTTTCCTTTGTTTAAGGTGTAGTGTTTCCAAACATCTGAAATTTTGACCAAGAGCAAATCAAATTGATTGATAAATGCAACAATAAATTTATCACAAGAAAGTATTTCTTTGTCTTTGAATGTCTTTCTTAAAATGTTCAGGCAAAACTTAACCAACAAAATTAGTTTTCAAACAAAAAAAACAGCTTAGTTAGAAAAGTGGTTATTAAAGTTTTAATTTATTGATTAAATTATTTCAAGCCTTTTAAAATATTTAAAAGCATTTTTGAACAAACTAATTCTGATTACCATCTTCGTTTTTTAGATTTTTGTTATAGAGGTAAACAAATAAATCAGGTGGAGGAGTTCTGATTTACATCAAAGAAAATAGTACACATAACATTAGGAATGATATGTGGGTTTCTGACGGTGATAAAGAAATCATAGCGAAATTTTAAACAATAAGAAAATTAATACTCTATTAGGTGCGGCTTAAAATCATAATTTCTTTTTACAGCAAAATATTATTCATAAAGTTAGCAAAGAAAAGGAAATTAATTTCATAATTTGGGATTTTAAATAAATTGTTTAATTTATAGATTAGTATAGTAAAAATCATTTACCGAAATTTACTGACAATTGTACCGGTAAATCGTTAAACAATTTAACAGATTTACTAGTAATATTTCAGTAAAAGCTCAACCCTAATATATATATTGTAGTTGAAAGAGACTTTTATGGTAAAAAAAAAAGTCTCTTTCAGCAAGATTTAAGTGAAATCAACAATTAAGCGATGTCTAAATTAAATGTCTAAAAGTTAAAACAAGTAAAATAATACAGAAGGACATTAGGTTTTATTGTTTTTTTGAAAAAACCGCAATAGTAATGACTAGACATTTTTTTATATGCTAAGAGTGTTGCTATATTGGCTGTCAAATAAGTAAAACATGCAAGGAGTGTTGCTTTTTTACTGTAAAACATGTGGCAGTATTGCTACATCAACAATATTACAGCCTGCTGCTACATCGACTATTTAATAGCCTGCTGCTACAATGACTGTCAATCTATCATTTAAACAAAAAAAAACAGCGTTCTCTTTAAATCTACAGTTCATGGAAGAAACTTCTCGATCTCCATGCAAGATATATATATATATATATATATATATATATATATATATATATATATATACATACATACATACATGTTTGTATGTGCTTAGACAGCCCCTGTACCATAGAAGTTCAGTTTTTGAGGAGCTTGAAAGAGATCCAAAATAAGATAATGACTCATTAATTTATGGGAATACAAAAGCATTCATGTTTATATAACCTTTTATAAAAGTTTGTACGAGAAGAGTTTGAGAAAAAAGTTAATGATTTGTTTAAAGATAATTATTTCTTTTTTTTTTTTGTTAATCCATCTTTAAATTGTAAATATTTTTTATATATTGTAATTGTTTATGTTTTTATATGTTTTTACATGATATATAAACTCTTTGTATAAAGTATGCTTTTATAGTTTAGTACATAACTGTTTCACTTCATAATACATTTTAGCTTGCAAGATGTTTGTTAAAAATCTAAGTAAAGAACTTAATTGTTGTTAAATCTTTTTTTGCTGTATAACCTTGCACAATTTTTAACTAGTTAAAAGGCTTTAGTGCTTGATTATGTTTGAAGTTCTAACTCTCAGAATAAATATTTTTTAAGGATGAGTTAGTTGAAGTAGAACAGTGTGTTGTCATTGAATGTCGTAAGTTTCCGCTATGGGAATGTTCTCCTCAGAACTGGTATAGCAACACAGGTGAATTCATTGGAAAACTTCCTGAACAGAAACCAATTAGGGAATGTTTAATCAAAATTCTTAGTTTTCCACAGTATTGCCGTTTTCAAGCATGCAAAAAACGTCTTGAATCTGGAGTAAAGATATCAGATAAGATGCTTCTTGCACTAGGAGGCATTAAGTTTGAAAATCACCAAATCCTAATTGTTTTTTCTAGAAAATGTATTCAAAAAGAAAACATAAGCAATTTTTCACCCACCCAAGATATATCAGGTAATGTCATCATGATATAATTTTATTCAAAACTTTTACAGATTTTGCTCATAGAAATTTATGTTTTTAAAATAAATTTTTTTAGTACCACAATTTAGAGGAAGACCTCGAAAAAAAAAAGGTATTCAACATGATAAATGCAATAAAAGATTTTTTAAATCTGTGTCCTTGGAAGAAAAAGAAAAAAAGAAAGAAGTGTTACCTCAAGTTGAAACTGAGGTCAAAAATATTTTGTCTGATAATTCATTGAACACTTCAAAAGAGAATACTTTAAAAGAAAACATTACCATTAAATCAAATGATGTAGAAGTAAGCAATTGTTTAATTAATCAACCCAGCACCGATGTAAATGAAGAAAATGTCAACTCGATTCCATCTAAGCAACATAGTATTGTACATATTTATTTGTTTTATTTCATTTTAGTTTTTGAAAATCTTTATTATTTATCAATGCTGTTTTGTTGTTGCATTATGATTATTATTTGTTGTTGGATTATGATTATTATTTGTTGTTGCATTATGATTACTATTTTTTGTTGCATCAATGATGCAACAAAAACCAGTAATCATAATGCAACATCATTAAATTTTATTGCCAAACAATAATAATGATGCAGCATCATTATTATTGTTTGGCAATAAAATTTCTTGCAATTTACAACTTTCATACCATAAAGTTTATATTACAAGTAAAAAAAAAACAATCATTTACTTAAAAAATTGTTCGAGGGGGTGATTAAGGGATTTGGATTTGCGTAGCTAGTATCTCTATATCATGAAGTAAGTGTGAAAGATAATAATTATTGACACAGTAAAATTGATATTTTTTAAAGTTTATTTTTATAACTATTTTTTATTATTTAAAAGCTTTTAATTCTTTTAAATAATAAATTATAAAAGTTCTAACAACATTTTATAATGGAGTGAGCACTTAGTTAATGTTGCAAAAGATTTTTCTTTTTCTGATAGTAACTATTATAATCAGCATTAAAAAAAAGACTGACGTCATGTATATATTAAGGCTAATAAATATACAAAACCCAAAAAAGTTTGTGTCAAGCTAAGAATACATTTATTTTTAAATTTTGGTGCATAAACTACTTTCTTTTTAACTTAAAAACAAATTTCTTCAATTTTATTCCAATACTGGCAGTGTTATATCAGTATTTTAATGTTATTATCATAATGACTTTTTTTACATTATTAATGTGACCTCTGTTGTTTTCTTTTTTTAATTAATTTTTAATTAATTTCTAATTTATAGTTATTGGTTTGTTTAGTTTAGGCAATATTTATGATTAAATGTGTGTTTGTTTCTATTATATTTTATTTTATATTATTTGTTTCTATTATATTTTATTTTATATTATTTGTTTCTATTATATTTTATATAATTTTTGTACAAAAATAGTTTTATTAATTTTGTTATTATTAAAGGTGTATCCAACTGACCCCAACATGTTCAAAAAATATTTGTATGCATTTATGTATAATCGTGGTACACCAATTACAAAGATACCTATTATTGGTTACTTTAAAGGTAAATTAAAATAATTATCAATTCAAAAAATATCAAATACATTATTAATATATAAGGACTGGAAGTAAGGGCTAAATACTTAACTCTTCAAGTTTTATATAAATGTAATAAATATACAATATAAACTTATTTTAAATTTAAAAATATACATAAATATAATGAATATTTAAACTTATTTATTTGCTGCTTTGCAGTAGGAGGGGGGGGGGGTACATTACTATGAAATTGTATCTTTTGTATATTAGTTTGCAATTGCTATTTTTTTAACATAATATTTCTCATATCTCATAATATTCTCGTTAGTTACTGTTATAATTTACAGCTTAAGTTAAAATATATTGCTTTTGTTGCAGTTATAATGTAATGTGTGAGTAATGTATATAATACTATTACAATCTTACTTTTAGTAATTGTTTTTATTTAACATGGTACATAAAAAAGTAAAAACGCAAATATTATAATATTTAAATCATTTAAACAGTTGTAAATAAGCTATTTAATACCCCACAATAAAACATGTTTGATTTTCAAAGCATATTAAGTTGTTATTGTAAAAAGCTATATAAAACAACAATTCAACAATACTGCAAAGTTTTGTCAATACAAAAAGCTTGTGTTAATTTAAAACAACCTCGCCATGACAACTTTACTTGTTGTTTTATTGCTGTTTTATACATTTAGAACTGATGAAAACATTGTCATCATAAAACTTTAAACTTAATATTTTTGCAAAATATTAAAACAAACAAGTTAACTCAAAACAAATACTAAACTTATTAGATACCACGTCCTTTCTAGTATATTGCTTTTTGATCTAGCGGATTATTGAAAATTTAAGTATAATTAATTTCTTCATTTAAAGGAATTTTGAAGTTGAATTTTTCATTCTTTTTTTTTTTGTTCAAATTGCAAAGTTTTGCAATAAAATAAAGTCAGAGAAAAAGTTTTGATTCATTAAGTCGAATTATATTTTAAGTCTAAGTATATGCTTAACTTTTTCTTTTTTTTTTTGAAAAAAAAAAAAATATTTTGAACAGACTTTGAATAATTTACTTTTTTAAGTTTAAATTTTTAGAATTTAGTTTTTTACTTATTAAAGTTTGCATTAGAATGTTTCTACTTTTTAAACTATTTTTAAGAAACTAGAAATAATGACACCTTTACAAAAATATATTTAACTACTAAATATGTGTACAATTAAAATAAAATTTTCTTCCTCGCTTGCACTATTTACTAAATCTAAAAATATTGTTACTGTAGCTAAATCTATGTTTGATTTTCAGGAATGATCCTTGTTATGCAGCTTGGTATTATGTTACTGCAGTTTCCATTCAATAAATTTATAATTATTGTAAGCAAGTTAAAAATTCATAAAGTTCTTTTAAATTTTTAAAAGTTTTATCCAAATTTTAAATTCAAGATTATTTTAATAAGAGAATTTTATGAGACTGAAATTCTCTTATTAAAATAAATTACTTTTTAAAATGAATTTCTAAAAACAACTTGCGTATTTATAGAAAATATTAAATCTTGATAAAGCTATAAATAAAATGAATATATAAAAAAAATGGTATTGCATGTTTCATATTTTATTTGAAATTTATTGTTAAAATTATTTTTAGTTAAAAGCTTATTATGTGTTAACAACATATAAGATATAAATAGAAATATTTGTATGGTTAACTTTTGCAAGTATATCTCTTTGAGCAAATTAAGTATATTTAATAGTTAACTTAACTGGAGTAACTTAACTGGTTGTTTTGATTTAGTTTAAAAGTAAATTTACTGTAATGTACTTTATCTATAATAAATTACACTAAATTTACTGTAATGTACTTTATCCATAGTAAATCACACTAAATTTGGGTAGGTAAAATTGGCAGAGCAGAGCAGATTGGTTGAGGAGATCATTTATATGGTATAAATGGCAAAGTGTATTATAAAATAATCTGAATTTTTTTAAGTAATCTGCCAAATAATTTGGCAGACCGATGCACACAAAGCAGTCCAAGTTGAAAGTTAATTGTAAAATGAATCATTAGTTTAGAGACTTGAGTCTTATGCACAAACATTTTTTGTGTAAATGCCTTATCAATAAAAAAAGTAATCTGTTGTATTCTAATATGTGATCTGCTAAATATTTCAGCTGATCACATGTTTAAAATAGGTTATTCGGATCCACAAGTTTAGGTACAATTCATCGTGTTGAAACAACTGAAAATTGATAGTTAAAAAAAAACTCATCAATAGTTTTATATATATATATCAATAGTTTTATATATCATCAATAGTTTTATATATATATATATATATATATATATATATATATATATATATATATATATATATATATATATATATATATATATATATATATATATATATATATATAATATCTTGTAAATTTTAGTTCCAACAAAACTAAGTTATTTACTGCAAACAACTATCGCAATACTGTCAGCATTTCTATATTAATAAATGGTAACCCTCTCACTGAGTCCTCTTCTTTACATCTTTTTGGATTATCGTTTACTACTGAACTTTCATGAAAACCATATATACAATCAATTGCTAAATTAGCATCCACTAAGGTAGCTTCTCCTTATTGTGCTTGCCATTTTCATACTCCTGATTCCATTCTCATCCTCTACAAAAACAGCAAACATTCTACAGCAGAATTTCAGTGGATCTATATAGTCATTTTGAGCGGACTGCTGTAGTTTGGCCCATCAGTTACTTAGTGGACTACTAGTGGCGGCTGCTATAAATAACAAGCTAATAATTTTCCAACATGTTAATAGTGGCTATTCATCGGTTAGGTACTTTTGAGCAAAACTACAGCGGTCAGTCAAAATGTCTTTATAGGTTCATTGAAATTCGGCTATAAAATGTTTGCTGGGAAGGAATAGTCCCTAAACATGATTACAACAAATTTAATGGAGTTTTTTTTTTTTCTTAAAAGACTACACACCTTTCGGGACATATAATACAAATGTATAAGTTAATTCATTGCAATGCTTTTCACACCTTTGCAATTAGTTTTTTTTTAAATATTTTCAAGATTTTTTTTTAAATTCTAATTTAGCAATTTTTTGGCCATTATAAAAATTATAGAATGTTTTTGTGACACTTTAGTATTAAAATTGAAATTATAGAATGTTTTTGTGACACTTTAGTATTAAAATTGAAATTTCTTATTTAGCTAATTTCTAATTTTCTAATTTAAAATTTAATTTTCTAGTTTAAACACTTGAGTATTAAAAAATATATAATTTAATTGAAATATTTTGGTAATAAAAATAATTATACTAATTTTTGATATTCTAAGCAGTTCTAAGTGTAGTTTTTCAGTTTTTTAAATAATAAATGAAAGTGTCTTTTTATAGTAAACTTGTTCAATTTGTTCTCTTTGGTTGATATTCACGGAGGCTATTTTGAAGTAAGTATTGCACAACTATTGTTAACTTTTTTTATTTCAATGTTTTAATATTTTTGTTATCCCCTTGAATTCATTTTGATGGATTTTTTTTCAAAGTAATTTTTGTTTAAAAATGTAAATTGCACTTCCTGTCTGTAATAAAGTTTGACAATAGGTTACATTAAAAAAACGATGGCGTCGTGTTTATGAATTACTTGGTCATTCAAACTCAATTACCAATTCTGCTACTATTACAAGAAAAACCTATGAAAAGTATAAATTTTACACTTAATTCATTATTGTTTGTTGTTTTCAGTAGTGGATTAAGACTTCTTGGGGTCCAGGGCTATTTTTGTTTTTGGAGGCTTTTTTATTATTTTAAAAAAAAAAAGTCCTCTAAAATTTTTAGGGGCCCCTAAATTTTAGGGGCCCCCTTGATCCGGCACTGGTTATTGTTTTTATTTATTACATATAAAGTCTTGTTTAGTTTTTAATAGTTGTTACTATAGTTACTAATTTTGATTTTATATTATTTCTGTTTAGCCTTTTACTTCCATTTGAAAATTTTTTGTTAACCAAAAATAAGTCTGAAAACTTTGATGGTAACAAAGAAGCTTTAAAAGACGAAACGGAACTATTTGAAAATATCTCGTTGAACAAAAATATCCCTGAAAACATTGATCATAATAAAGATTTTTTTAAAAACGAAACAGGAGTATTGGAAAATATTTCATCAGCCAAAAATAAATCTGAAAGTTTTAAAGGTAGCAAAGAAATTGTAAAAGAAAAAACAGGATTTGAAAATAAGAAAAACACTTTTAATACTCAAACGAAGTTATCTTGTAAACCAGAGAATTCTTTTAGTAATCCATACTCTTCACAGAATGCAAGCTCTAATCAAAATGTGGTCAACATTCCTTTTCCTTCTTTAGCGAAATTTGAAAATACTCACCATTCACCTGAAAATATGAATTCAGTAGACTTCAAATCTGGTAAAAGATATAGAGATGTGTATGATAATGACTCACCACCAAAAAAAAAGTCACATAATATCATTAATAGTTCATTAAATGATTGCAAATGCTCAGCGCACTCAGAGAGTGTGATGCAACCTAGTACTTATGCTTACAGTAAAAACAAGGTTTTCAGCAATTTATATAAAAAATCTGAAATTAGTTCTAAAAATGAGACCAACACATTATTTAAAGGTTTTAGAAATGGCGTTGAATATATCTCAGATAAAGAGTCGCGTTGTGATGCAAGAAACATTTCAGATAGTTGGATAGAAACGTTTAATTGTTCAGCCATTAATAATGGTTTTTTAGAAAACACTCAAAAAAGTAATTGCATTACTAAATGTTCTAAACAAGTTTACAAAAACTGCAATGCCAATATAATTGGTAAATGTACAGATCTAGCAAATGAAAAACTATACAATAACGAAAGTTCCATTTGCGGATCTTCATTAATACCAAATGAAGATATCAATTTAGATGATCGTCTTCAATTTGTAAATTCTCCTTTTCAATATTCTCATCAAAAGCAACCAGTCACGTTTTATACTGGGTCTTCAAGTTTTCGTACTTACTCCGGTTATAAATGAATTACATAAGTTGATCGTGTTTTTCTACTACATATTTATTACAGTCGATATATAAAGTATAGCTTCTATTAACTATAAATATTTATTTTATAAATATAACTATTTAACTATAAACATTTATAATAAAAATAATTATAAATATTTATAATTATAAACATAAAATTATTATAAGCATAAAATTACAAAAGTATTATAAATATTTTTGAATTTAGTTTTTTCAATTAACTTCTTTTATAATTATCATACAACTATCATTGTCATTTTATTTGCAAAAATAAGTCAGTCAAAAATTAAATTAAACTGTGCATGGAGTAAACATTTTTCGTTTGTTTTTAAAATCTTTTTAAATGATACAAGTCTTACTTTGATTTGCTCTATGTAGCTATTTTTTCTTTATTGCGCTTTATCTTCACAAACAATCAAAAAATTCTTTTACCTTTTTATATCTATATATACTTTAATGGTTTAATAGCAGCAATTATTGTGCATTTGTCTAAATATTTGTGATATTTTTGTAAAACATAAAACTGTCTCTTAGATATTAAGATAATTGATATTCTTCCACTTTCAACATTCAATGTTAACTTTTAAAGGATATTCATTGTTAATATTTTTTAATAACCAGCTGTAGAAGTAAAACATTCACTTATAAAACATTTTAGTACATTTTAACTTACTACATTGAAGTTTGTAGTTTCTAATGTATAAAATAGATTTCAAAGAAATGATAAAAGAAGGCTAATTACAAAAAATTAGAAAAACAAGTTATTTCGATCTTCAATTGTAGTTCGAATTTACTATTTTATTACCTAAACCAATAATAGAATTTCAAATTAATAAATGAATAAATTCTCTCTAATTAATAAATAAACTATTTTTAATTAACAAATGAATAAATTACAAGTTTTAAGTTTTTAATGAGCTTAGCTATAAAATCTAAAGTTTTTCATGTTTTTATTTAATCTTTAATTTTTGCCTTTAAAGCTTAAGAAACCTAGTATGTTCATGTAAACTTTCATATGTTGTTTAGTTGATCATTTACATTATATACTTGATGTTTCGTGACAAAAAAATTTAAGTTATAATTATAAAAAAAAGCTTAAGTCAAATATGATTCAGTCTGAAGTCCGGTTTGTTTTTTCTTTTACTTTTTTCTATGAAATACTAATACCTTATTTTGCGAATCTTCTTTAACTCCTGTTGCAATTAAATACAAGAATGATCAAGTTTTCTGCAGAAATGGAAGTAACGGTAAATTTTAAAATGAAACTTGTATAGTATACTATATTTCTGTTAAATTTATTTGCATCGCCTCCTAAGTTTGCAAGAATTTGATTTTAACAACATACAAAAAGACCTTTTTCTAAAAGCCTGAGGCTGAACCTCTATCAGCCCCCGCTTTAATGCAATCCTGTTACCTACTTATTTTTACAAAACTCTAAACCAAACGTTAGCGTAGAAACATTCATGTGATTGGATAATTGAGTTCTGATAGCTATAGTAAAATCCAGCATTTATTTCAATTTTCAAGAAATACCAACTTCTCTATACAACAACAAAATAAACTAATTTATCCGGTATCTAAACTGTAAAGTAACTATATTTTTAAAAACTTTGAGCAGATATAGTTTTACCAATAATTAAGTTATTTTAACTTTTAAAATAGAAATTATATTCCTGAAATTTTCAAAAAAATTGGTCGAGCCGTTTCAAGATGGGTGTGCCGAAAGATTAAGAACACAGGTCCTGAAAAAATGCACAATAAGTTAAAATTGGGATTAAAAAAATAAAAAAAACAATACAAAAAAATATATATTAATAGAGCACAGTAATAAAAATTTTTAATCATGAACACCAGCCCCATACAGATTTCGTTTGTTCAAATTTGCTTCGTTCGTTTCTTGATAGTTTCTTTATATTTATACTCTGACATACTCTTCTCCAGTTCAAGTAATTGCAACCAAAAAAGATATGCTGTCCTGGTATTATATTAAGTATTATATTAAATTGAATGTTTTGAAGAATTTATTAAAAAATACAGTCTTAAAAACAAATTAAAAAAAAAAGTTTGTATATTGCTGGGTGACATAAATTTGACTTATAAAATATTTCCGAAAACAAAATCATTTTTTGATATGCTTTTATAACTGGTAAAATATAATATTTTACCAGAAATAAATAAACCAACTAGAGTAACAAAAAGCTCTGCAACTGCAATCGAAAATATTTTTATTAATAATTATATAGAAACGTCATTTGAGACAGGAATTTTTAAAACTGACATTAGTGATCACTTCCCAATATACATTAAAATAAATCTTTTATATGTCACAACCAAAGGGGCTTCTAAGATTAAAACTCCAAAAAAAAAACGCAACTTATCAACAATTAATAAGAATAATCTTTCTAATAAACTAAAGCAAGAGTCGTGGAATAAGGTTTTAAATGGGATAATACAGATAAAGCTTTTAATATTTTCCTACAAACATTTCTTGATATATATAACGATACGTGCCCATATTAATTAAAAATAACTAAAAAAAAAAACAATACTAAATCCTTGAATGAATAAAACTCTAATAAAATGTTCAAAAAATAAACAAAAACTTTACAATAAATTTTTAAAAAACAGAGGTGAAGATAATGAAAAAATATACAAAAAATATAAAAGGTTTTAGGAAAATCTTCTCATAAAAGCTAAAAAAACCTATTATAGTGAAGAACTTACTAAAAACAAATTCGATGTAAAAAAAAACATGGAATGTAATTAATAATATAATGGGAAGAAACAAAATAACTACGGCTTTATTGCCTCAAAGAATAAATATCAATAAAACTGATATTTATTGTCCTTTAAAAATTTCGAATGAGTTAAACACTTATATACTTTACAAACATTGGCCCGAACCTTGCTAAAAAATTATAACCACACCCAACTCATTTCAATTATATCTTAAATCGTTAAATGACGTAATACTTCACGAAGTCACTTTTCTCTTAAAGAATATGAAACAGCCTTTTCTTTTCTAAAAAAATAAATCACCTGGCTTTGATGACGTTTCTAGTAATATAGTTATTTTAAACAAAAATTACATTTCCAGACCTTTGATCCATATTATAAAACTTTCAATAAATGAAGGTATTCTCCCTGAAGCACTGAAGTTGGCAAAAGTATGTCCAATTTACAAAAACAAAGATCAATCAGAAATCTCTAATTATAGACCTGTATCAGTACTTTCTGTATTTTCCAAAATATTTGAACGTGTAATCTATAATAGAATTTATAACCATTTTAATGAAAATAGTTTACTTTACACAAAACAGTTTGATTTTCAAAAAAACCATTCAACTAAACACGCAATAATTGAAATAGTAGACCAAATTACTAAAGGATTCGAAAACAATAACTTTACTCTAGGATTATTTATTGAGCTATCAAAAGCATTTGATACGGTTGATCACCTCATTCTTTTAGACACAAACACTACTTAGTAATAAATAAAATCTATGATTGGTTAAAAAGCTACCTCACTGAAAGAAAACAATATGTTATTAATAAGGAATCATGTGAACTAAAAATTATGTGTCGAGTTCCACAAGTGTCAATTCTTGGTCCCTTGCTGTTATTGATCTATGTAAACGATTTGCATAATGCTTCAGCAAAGCTTAACGTGATAATGTTTGCTGACGACGCAAATCTTTTTTTATCAAACAGTGACATTAGGCAACTTTACTCTGACATGAATTATGAATTAAGGAATGTCAATCAATGGTTTAAGGCTAATAAACTGTCACTTAATGTAGATAAAACAAAGTATACTCTATTCCATAAAAAATCACAACAAGAAAACCTTCCCTTAAAACTACCAGATTTAATTTTAGATGATAAACTAATTGGAAAAAATGAGTCAATACAATTCTTAGGAATTCTTATTGATGAAAATTTGACATGGCTTCCTCACATAAATTATATCCAATCAAAAATTAGTAAAACAATTGGTTTGATGTATCGTATTCGCCCATATATAACATCAGAAAGTCTGAAACTGGTATATTTTGGCCTAATACATTGTTTTATTTACTATTCTAATATTACATTTTTTTTTTTTTTTTTTTTTTTTTTTTAACATCTTCACTTCCAACAAGGCTGCAAGCAACCACTATAAGAGTTGGAAGTTACTGGAAGAGAAAAGACTAAATCTGTAGAGCAAGATAACGATTGACTGATGACTTAAAAGATTGCAAATTATATGAATCAGGAAAGCAAGATGAAGGCAGCGAATTACAAAGAACTGATGTTCGAGGAAAAAAACTAGAAGAATAAGAGTTTTTGAAGCACTTAGGAACAGTCACAGAAAAAGGATGAGACTTAATTGAATGGCGAGTAACACGAGAATGAATTTTAGTAGATGGCACAAGGGACGCTAGCTCTTTAGAGCAGTGCCCATTATAGTATTTGTAGAAAAGAGAAAGAGAAGCAACATTACGACGATGTGACAAAGGTTGGAGATTGGCTGCCAGAGCAGGCAATCTCCAACCTTTTACAATCCAACTATGTTTACAATTCGTTTTTGCACCTTGTCTAAAAGAGAAAGAGCATCATTAGAAGATCCGCCCCAGATGTGGCAACAGTATTCCATACAGGGACGGATTTGAGATTTATAGAGATAGAGAATAGAATCTGGAGTAAGAAAGTGTCGAGCTCGATAAAGAGATGCAACCTTAGCAGATGCTAATTTTGCAATGGATTTGATATACGGTTTAAAAGAAAGATCAGAAGTAAGAGTTAATCCTAGAAGATGAATGGTAGATGACTCATCTAGTACATTACCATTCATAAATATAGGAAGATCTAAATTATTACGATAACGATTGGCCAAATAAAATTGAGTTTTATCTAAATTAAAGTTCACCAGCCACTGTGAGCCCCATGCTGTAGCAGAAGTGAGATCCTTTTCAAGCTCAGATACCCCCTCCAAGCAATCAGAGAGTGTAGGCTTCTTATCATGACAAGAGTAAATGGTAGTGTCGTCAGCGAATAATGCCACCTTAGATGTGAGAATATCTGGAAGATCGTTAATGTAAATTAAAAAGAGTATAGGGCCAAGGATTGAACCTTGAGGAACCCCTGAAGTTACAGGATGTGAAGAAGAGTGTTGTCCATCGAGGACAACTTTTATACTACGATTGGAAAGAAAGGACTCAATAATCTTAAAGACGTTACCAGCTACACCATAAGAAGAAAGCTTATGGAGAAGACCAGCAAGCCAAACTTTATCAAAAGCTTTAGAAATGTCAAGTGCGATAGCCTTAACCTCTCCACCTCTATCTAATGCACGGTAAAACCTAACATGGGCTAGTACTTAGTCAACAAAACTTAAAAAAATGTTTTCTCTACAAAAACATGCATGCAGACTAATATATAAGAAAAAAAAATATGAACATGCAAAACCACTAATGAAAGACATGCAAATGATGAGTATTTATGAAATTAATATTTACCAACACTTAATTTTTATGTATAAATATAATAACAGCCTAATTCCGAAAACCTTTAATAACAAATTTACGAAAAATGTTAACA